CCTTAGTCACCGAGACCTTCAAGTCTCGCTAGACTTCCTTAAGTTGCTCTTCATCGGTTTCGCTTGGACCTCTTCACACTTGACTCCGGTTCACAAGTATGGCTATATCAGGGATATAATGAAATTCTTTGCTTGGTTCTTTCCATAAAACAAATGAATGAGGCTTGAGTAACGCAAACATTGGTGAGAATCCAATGCCCCGAAAACCTAAGGCGGGAAAAGAAGTTCACGACCCGTGGGCCTTCTACCTCCACGCGGCATTGCTCCGCCAGGCTTTCGCCCATTGCGGAAAATTCCCCACTGCTGATTATATATCTAATTTCAAGACCTCGACGGATCTATCATAAAATCGTTTATTTACAACGGAATGGTATACAAAGTCAACAGATCTCAATGAATACAATAGAATTTATGGCTACACAAACTGTCTATTGCAGCGGGCGAAGTGGCCATTGGGTTGGCTATTCTTTCATCAGTTTATCGAAACCGAAAATGGGCAAGTATGATGGTCCTAATGATGATTCTACATGTTTTTCGTGTATATCTCACCGGTGGATTTAAAAAACCTCGTGAATTAACTTGGGTTACCAATTTGAGCAAGTTTCCAATTTAAAATTCAAAAGCAAAACTTGTTGGAATTGATCAAACCGCAGTGGTTGGAACAAAGACACATTGGGTTGTGAATTCTAATGTGGCAGACATATATCTACACAGACCAATCAATAGTTCAAGTCACACACTCCCATAATCCACTCTCTCACCCAGGGTCCAGAGTTAAGACTCGGTCTCTATCTTCCTTACCTCACTCTTAATGATTCATTTTCTCTATTATATATAATAATATATATTACTTGCACAAATAAAAAGTGTCATAATAAATATATAATAATATATATAATCTTATAAAAGGTATTTAAATTTTCAAACTACTTTTTCTCATTAATTTTAGATTTTAAGAAAAAAAATTAGCAAGCACCCATGTAATACACGGGTGTTGTACTAGTAATAACAATAAATCACAATCATTTATAAACGAAAAATTAGTTTACTTTTAAACAATTCATAATTAGCAAATAAATGAGAATTTGTAGATGAACGGCGGAATTTTCTTATGTAATTTTTCATTATCTTTGGTTTGTATGTGAACAAATTCACAAATCACTCATTTTTCATGTGGAATAGTGATGCAGCACGTGGTAGACAAAATGGATAAATGTTTTTGAAGAACTCAAGAAACCAGAGAATATAAATCATATTAATGATAAAACTGAGTAAAAGTATCTGATAGGAGTACAATATATAGGGGAAACCCCAAGACTCCTAATCTAATTATTATTCTTATTATTTATCTAGGCAAGACAAATAATAATCCTAAAGAACATGCATAAACAAGGAAAAAAAAAAATAAGCATAATAATATAAACTAGGAAATAAATAATAAATATTAACTAAATATGAAGCCTCTTGTATTTCTCCGTACAAGCTAATGCGACTTCATCTGCATCAGATAGCATAGGAATATATGATAATTTCATATGGTAAAACTTTTCATGTAAGGAAATCATTAGACCATTATTATATACCTGGAAATGCTACAGTCTCGTTACGGAACCATTCCGTCGAGATTTGTAACCGTTAGAGCATCATATAACAGTCGTGGATAGTTGATCTAACGGTTACAAATTCTGATTGAATGATTCGTAATGTGACCGTAGAATCTACCAGCCTGTATGTACATGTAAGGAGAGTATTATTTCATTATAACATTATTGCATGTATCTATAATGTAATGAGATCCTACAGGAAAATGCATAAAACTATATAAATGTCAATGGGCACTTAGACATATCACGTGAAAAAATTCATGAAAGAATTAAATGCCCCCAAAAAAAATCTTGTTTAAGGTCAGATGAACTGTTAATAGTTTGGTATTCAGCAATAAAATTCTGGGGAATTAAATAAAAGATGGGTGAAGAGAGACTGAAATTAAGAAGAGATGAATCTGATCACAAATATAAAATAATTTTTTATGACTAGATTTTATATAAAAACAATTAATGGACGGTGGAAGTGTGGAGCACCAGTTTTATTGCATATTGTACTGCCAGCCAATAGATCTCAATTTTCACCTAGTTTAAGTCAAAATAGTATACCTACACATAAGAATATCACAATTTGGTACCCAGTTTGTTGGTTATTAGTTAATTTGACCGAAAAAAATTGGATATAAAAATTTTTGGATTTGTTTGTATTTTTTGGTTTGGTTTGGTTAATTTTGAAAAAGGTGGTATAGTTAATTGTTAGTGAGTATATTAAAATAATATTTAAAATATAATAATTAAAGTTGATTTGATATAAAAGTATGAAAGAGATGATTTGAAGTGATGGTTAGTTAAAATTATGTGAGTGGATGAATAGTGAATTAAGGTTGATGTGATTTGTATAAATGATTGGTTGATATTATTTAATTATAGTAAATATTTATGATAGTGGGGTTGAGTTAAAGTTGAGTTAAAAAGAGTGGTCGAATTAAAAATAATTGAATTTTTTTGAGATAGTTTGGTATACAAGCATACTCTAATATTTTGTAAAATGAAGTTGGCTCTTGTTCAAGTTTGTCTTATTATCATTTTGAAGCTTATGGTGTAAAAGTCGGGAGATTCTACGGTCCTGTTATGGAATCATTTCGTCGGAGTTTGTAACCGTTAGATCAACTATCCACCATGGTTACATGATGATCTAACAATTACAAATTCTGATGAAATGGTTCCGCAACGAAACGACATTTCCCCTAAAAGTATATTTAACCTGAGCAAATAACGGAAATCAATGTAAGTCTACACAAACGAGTCTGGAATCGTGTGTGATTAAGGGGGTGATTGTTTACCATTTCTACAGTAATTTTTTTACTCAAATTCAAATTTAACTCAACTTTAACTCAACCACACTATCTCTAATATTATTATATAATTAAATAACATCAACAAATCATTATTACATATCACATCAACTTTAATTCACTATTCATCTTCTCACATAATTTTAACTAATTTTAACTAACTATCACTTTCAATCATTTTCTCTTACTTTTACATCAAATCAACTTTAACTATTTTATTTTAAATACTATTTTAATATATCCACTAACAACTAACCACACCACTTTATCTTAAACTTAACCATAATTAAAAAATTCTAGATTTTTTACTATTCAAAATATAAACAATCACCCCCTAAGAAAACCATTGGTTTCTCAACATTTGTTTATTAAAAACAAAAATGGGACACCTCTACACAAATCACGGCTAATTTGGTGGTAATCTAACATGACTCTGTTCCAATTTATTCAAATATCCAGCAATCTCGTAAGAAAAAACTTCAACATCTCATACTATATATACACACACACACACCATTCCTACACTTACAATTAATTATCTGCTAATCATTCAATGGCTTGTCCCAATTTTCCTTTGCTATTTATCACATTCATCTTCTTAAGCAACAGCTTAGCTTCTACTGCAGTCCCATGTGATCGTAAGTTCTTTTTAGCAATCATTTGTTCATTTACGATTTCATTTAACAGCTAACTCTACATTTTGTGAACTTACCATTCATGTTCGTAGTTTATTTAGTTAATTCATAAGTCTTTTATATTTGGTCGCGAGCTTATCTCACGAGCATCATTAACTAACTTTTCAAGGAAAGCCAGTTGAAGATTTCATTTCAACTGACTCATCATCATCAGCTAGTTTTTTTAGCCATCGGCTATCAGTTATAACCTCGTTTTGTCAGCTAGATTTACCAAACATACCTAATACTCGTGCTGATGCCATGCTCACGTCGATCTTTCGTTTTCCTAAGGAATGCTCAACAATGGGAACTTCGAAGAGGGGCCTAAGCCGGCCAACCTCCGGCAAAGGAGGATCATCGGGCGACACGCCCTCCCCAAGTGGGAAATCAGCGGCATCGTGGAGTACTTGTCGAGCGGGCCCCAGCCGGGCGGGTTCTACTTAAGCATCCCGCGTGGGGCCCACGCGGTGAGGCTCGGGAACGAGGCCTCCGTGTCGCAGTACGTGCGGGGCCTGAAGCCGCGGTCCGTCTACACCCTGACCTTCGGAGCCACGCGTACGTGCGCGCAGGACGAGGTGCTCAGGGTGTCGGTTCCCGGAATGTCGAGCGACCTCCCCATACAGACGCTGTACAGCACTGACGGCGGGGACACGTACGCGTGGAGCTTTAGGGCACGATCGAGAGTGGTCAAGGTCACGTTCCACAATCCCGGAACGCAAGAGGACCCCACGTGCGGGCCCCTCTTGGATGCGGTCGCGATCAAGGAGATGCTGCCCCTCACATACACAAGAGGTTAGTTAAGGCTCAAACTTTCTTTTGAGTAAAAATAGTAGATACTTGTGAAAGCCTAATTATGAAACACACTGAATCTACCGGTTTGATTGATAATGTTCTATTGAAAGCTGTCTTGTACGGGAGAATTGTGAAACATTACACTTATCTTCTCCATTAAAAGTTTGAGGTGTCTTTAGAAAAATAAAAAACTCTTAGTGTTTGCTACATTCCATAGATGCATAGCAGTAATGAAGGACCCCTCAGTTATTTCTTAAACATCCATCTGAAAATCTATTTTTTATCAGTCAACAAGTTTTACAAGAGGGCATCATCATAAACTCCTATTTTCTTAGTCTAGTCTAGGACCTTTGCTATATAAGCCATTCATATTATACTGCACTAGAACTTCCAGATGGTAAGGTAAGGCGCCTCATACGAAACTAGAGAGAGTAAATTATATTCTACTTACCTAAAATTTTTCTGCACAACCGCAATTTTATTTTTTTTTTTTACAGGGAACTTAGTGAAAAATGGGGGCTTTGAGTACGGTCCCCACGTGTTCAAGAACTTCTCGACTGGTATCCTCGTACTGCCTAAACGCCAGGACCTGTACTCACCCATTCCCGGGTGGATAGTCGAGTACCTCAAGCCAGTCAAATACGTCGACTCCAGACACTTCAACGTGCCTTCGGGAATGGCGGCAGTTGAGTTAGTTGGTGGTCGAGAGACAGCCATTGCACAAATCATCAGGACACAGTCGAATAAGTGGTACAACTTGTCGTTCACGATTGGGGATGCAAAGAATGGATGTCATGGGACGATGACAGTTGAGGCCTTTGCTGGTACTAAGACTTTGAAAGTCCCGTTTACATCCCAAGGAAAAGGGTGGTTCAAGACGGTGAGTTTGAGGTTTCAGGCGGTTTCAGCTAGGACTAGGATCACATTCTACAGCCCGTTTTATCATACCAAACTGCAAGATTACGGGCACATGTGTGGGCCAGTTTTGGATGATGTTAAAGTTGTTCCAGTTGCTTATTAGTTCACTCGGAAAAGAAAACCGAAAAAAACAAAAAAGAAGTAAAATGATCCCTGGTTTTCATTAGGGATTTCCATGTTTTAAAATTGTTTTAAAGGGAATGAATAATTTTATTGGGATTCTAAGAAGTTTGTGTTTTGGTTGTACTTGGTTTATTTTGGAAGCTTTTGGCCCTTAGGCTTGGAGCAATTAATCACACAAGAAACTCGGATAGGTTTCTAATTATAAAGCAACAAGAAAGTACAGTTAGCCTGTATTAATAATATCTTTATGTCCATCGATATAAACAGCTTTTCGAGCTAATCAGTATTCACCAGTTTACAAGTATTCTGATATCAAGACATCAGTTCCACAATTACGAGTTATCAAAGTACCAATTCTGCAGACTCTTTACTTCTATGCATAAACTATAACAGATATATATGTATAAAATAACGTAAAAAGTTGGAATTTACTGATAGCTGTGCTCGATTTCTTGAGATAAATTGGCAGTCCCAAGTTTTTCCTTACTAACGTGGGACTGAATCTATTACTGTGTAGGTCCATTCAAGTAACTTAATTTGCTTTCTGCAAAAAGACATCAATGTAAAAGACCAATAATCCTTATATTATCATGAAGACATAAGTAAAATCCTAGATAAACCAGCCATTATATATGCATATAAAAAAAATTATTAATGTTAAATATCATGTTTTCTGGAGTTATTATTATTTTCATTGATGTGTGCAGGATTAAAGTTGAACTACAGCAATTTTACCGTGTAAATATAAGGGTCGGTACGTCCTCCAGCTCCATATCGCTTCACCTCCTGTAGCTTAAGCAACCTGCAAGCATTATCAATATTTTGTTCAGTACTATAAATCCAAAACAATAAATGTTAGGACAATAAAGAGATTCAGCCCAGGAAAAACAAAACTCACTCTCTAACAGAACAAGATGCAACAATATACTTGCTGCATTAAACATATTCCCAATTCAGGATAAGCTATCGTACACACGTGCTCCATAACAGGTTCTTACAAACTTAACATATATTCTTTTATAACTCGCTCAAGTTTCACAATTACATTGCTCTACCCCAAAAAAGACCAGCCTGAATCTTCAGAGATTCAGCAATAGATGATGAAAAATTCCACTAAACTTCTCATGAGATGCTGCTATCATGTTTACCATACAAATTACATAAAAGCATATATAAATAACCCTCACTATACGCTAATGTCCAGAAAGTCTAATAATTCGAGACATAAAAGGGGATATTATTAGTTGTGCTTACATCCTCAGGGCTTTGCTTGTAGAAGGACTATCACCAATCAAATGACGGATCTTAACCTCAGAAGCACTCTCTTTGGACAGAACCCCGAGAATGGCAGCAGCTGTCCGGCCAAGATGCCCTGCAATGACTGATCTCCTCGGCTTATCATCAGCATTAGTTTGACTGGAAAAGCTTTGGGAACTAGACGAGCTGGACAAGCAGGAGGCCTCAACAGTGGTTATTCCAGAAACACTCTCAGACGATGAGGGAGGGGATCCATCCTCACTGGACTTCAGTTTCTTGCCGTCTGAAATGCAGATTGTCTTTGAGCGTTTTTTCCGCACGATCTGGGTACACAAGAGTGATGCCATCAGTCATGAAGAAGATGAAGTTGGACTTTAGACAGATGCTTTGGTAAAGGGATAACTGAACATCAAATTTGGAATCATGTAATGGATGAATGTCAAATTTTAACACATTGATTTCGTGAAGAAGTTAAATTGATTTTTTTATTTTCCGGAAAAATCCATGAACAGACTTCATCTTCATGTGGGCGAGATATTAGCACAACCTGGAAATTGATTTTGTAAGGCATATTTTCCAACACTATTGCAGGGAGTTTCACAAAGTAAGAAGAGACTGGTGGTACAATGTCGATTTGTTTGTTCTATATATATAAGCCAACCGGAAACTATTGAATAATGGCTAGTCAATTTAAGCTGAAAAAACTTAAGGGTAAAAGGAAAACAAAACAAATAAGAAGAAAAAATAAAACAAAAACTCCACATGATACAAGATTCAACTCACAGCAAAAAGTGAGTCTACAGGCCCAAAAATGTTGAAGGATAAGGAGCACTGAACTGAACAACAAGCAATCTCATCAGCTCAATAAAGTCGACAAAATACACAGAGAAAGGGAGATTATAAGTTTTCTGATTTCAGAAACAGAGTGCTTATGCATGTTGATTAGAAAAGAAAACATGAACATCGGACTATATCAGACCATTCTATCAAACTCTGATGCAATCAACTCATAGTACGAACTATGACGACCTGATTTCACAAATCAGTTACTGTACAGATTATCAGAAAAACTACTAGATGAGCTATCAGATTTCCAATATGAATTCGAAGCTGAAAAAAACAAAATCGTAAAAAACAACTCATGAATCTCGTTCAGCTCAGGCAACAAACAACTGTCGAAGTCTCATAGCAGAGCTTCAAGCGCAGCTCAATAACACAATAAACTTCAGATTTGATTTCTGAGATCGAAACGAAAAAAATTGAAAAATTGAAGCGATAGAGAGAGAGAGAGAGAGAGAGATCAGTGAATCACCTTGAGGTCCAGCTCATCGAATCCAGAAACAAAGGCAACCACTGTAAGCTGCTGAGCAGGTGCAGATTCTTCATCAACGCAAACCTCCGCCGCCGGCCATCCACCATTCGTTTTCACAGCGGAAAATCCTGAACTGCCGAGGCTTTCTGGACTGCCGCCCTCCGCACTCCTTCAAAAACAAAATTATGAAGTTAGCCAATAGGCTCC